AGAGTGATAGTCCCGACGCTAGATGGGATGTGAGTATTACTCTGTTTCTTTCCTCCTCCTCTTCGCATCGCGCCCGTTTGCTCACTCGACCTTTCAGAATCGGAGGAAGATACTATGGTCGCTATACCACATCCTGCGGGACGATGTAAGAAGGAGATTCGTGTTCGGATATACAATTGAGAATCGGAAGATGCGTTGGTGGTACTGCAGTCGCACTGAGGTCTTCGTGTCGACTCCACTCGATTTCATCCAGGTGAGCGAGAAGCCAGTGTTGTGCGCATGTGACTTGAAATTGACTATTCAAATGCAGGATCACAGATCCGTAGTGGAATTCCTGCTCTGCGTCGCGTTCGCGGAAGAGCACCAGCTCGGTTGGGATCCGACAATCAAGAGGCTTCCACCGACGCCTATCCACCCGTTGCCACGATACGAGATCACCGTCCGGGATACCTTGCGGGATGAGGTGGTTGAGAGGACTTACCGGACGAAGGACCTGATTTGGAACTACGGGGCCGACGCTTTCCGAGGCCGGGGTACGAGAGTGTGGTCTGTCGTGGAGGTGGATGCGGATGGTAACGAAGGCACGGACCTGTACATCCTCAAGGATTCATGGGCGGATGTCGACCGCGAACGGGAAGGTCGCATCAACCAGCTGATACACTCTCGCGTTGTCGAACAAGACGAAGAACTTGCTTCAAAAGTATACGCCAGATTCTTCATGCAGGTTCACGCGTTTGGTGACGTGCATATCGGCCCGCGCGTTGACAGGACGGACAACTTCAAGGTCGACAGATTCGGCGAAGAGCTTCTCAGCCGAGGCACGCTCACGGTCCTGGTACGGACCGACGACGAAGGCAATCCTCAAGACGTTAAACTTCCTCGCCGCGGAGTTCCGGTTGTCACCCGTTCGATCAGACCGCGAGAGCCGGTGCTACATTACTCTCACAAGGTGCATCATCGCACTGTCTTCAAGGATGCAGGAAAGGATCTCTTGGAGGTGGATACACTTGTCGACGTCTATCGCCGGATTGAGCAGGTACTATCTGGTGAGTCAGTACGCGTTCGGGTTGCATCGTCCTGGTACTAACTCCGATCAGGGCTGGATGTCTTGCACTCAGCGAACTGGGTCCACCGCGACATCAGTTATGGTAACATATTGGTCGTTGGGGAGAACGCGAAAATCACCGATCTAGAATATGCCAAAGCAATGTCTGACCTCGGTGCGCATCACGGTGTCCGGACGGTGCGTCTTTAATCGGTGACCACCTGTGACCATCTAAGGAATAACCTGGATCTTCTAGGGAACGCCATACTTCATGTCAGAAGAGGTTCGAGCATCTGGGTACAACTATATGCCTGTCAAGCGGCGAAATATCCGATTGACGGATTCAAGTCGCACGGAAAGGCTCCGGCATGCCTTGCGGGACCCTGCGGCAACTCCGCCTCATGTGCAACCATCTCAGCAGGAGAGCGGACCAGGCACTATCCCCAGTTCAGCTCCCAACGAAGCCGCTGACGCTGCTCTGCCGCCTCCCGACACGACGCATCCGAGCCGCGTCATATTTCGCCACAATCCCCTACATGACTTGGAATCGGTCTTATGGCTCTCTCTCTTCGTCCTTCTTGTCTCCGAGTACGAAAATAGCGAGCTCAACGAGAAAGGAGAGCGCAAATACGACGCACAAACGTTCCAGGCCTTCATGGATGCGCAGCAAGCCTTGGCCTGGAAGCTCTTCTGCGAACCCAATTGTCGAATGGCGGTAATGATGACCGCGAACTATCTGGCGAGGCAGACAGACGGCCTTCACCCCACTGTTGCCAAGATCATCTGCGAGCTGGACTTTATGTGCTCCGACCTGGTGGACGCTTTCAAGGACGCGGAGAAGGACCTCAAGCCAGGGGTGGCCGAACCAATCACGATGGACTGGTCAGCTGTGAACGGACAGCTTAGTCAGAGTATCATGGCTGTCATTTCCATCCTTGAGCAGACGCCACTTCACCTTCTCAAGGACACCACGAAGAGGACACGCAGACTGGTCAAGCCGAAGGGCGTCGGGAATGAGAAGAAAGGGAGAGGAGTCGGAGACACTGCCAACGTTGATGGTGATTCAGGCACAGACGAGGACCAGGACGGCCGACGAGTCAAGGTCCGGAGGGTCGGAGGAAGCAAGGATGTATCATCTTCCTCGAGGGCTCAGCTTCCAATCCCTTCACTTACGACGCTTATTGCGGCTGACCACGGCTCCGATTCTGAGCAGTGACGATGTGTTCGACGGATGATTATCATTTGTGTACCATACCCTCTTCACACATCTGCGCAAATACACTTTCCTGCTCTTCACAATCTCAATTCAATACGATACTTAGCTCCGTACAACCGAGGGTGGGGTGGAAATCACCGCAGGCTTCACTTGACATCGGAAACTTGAAGCTCGTCTGCTCGTGAGCTACCCTAAGTGGCGTCGAATTACGTTCAATTCAGAGGTGGCGGCGGCCATCTGGCCACAACAAACCTCCGCGTGGATAATCCCATGGCGCCAGACATATTGTGAGAAACAGGGTTATGTATGCGACCAGGGACTAAATCTAACGTGAGCTTGAGCGGTGGATACAAGAGGTGGTTTCGCTGCGCTCCGCGCATGCTGTTCAGCTTCCGCACAAGTCGGGGAGATCTAGGCAAGGGGTTCAGATTGAGTCCAAATCACCACGCCTCGGCGTAACTCCATATTCCGCGCGGTGATAACTCATTGTAGTGCCTTAATTATGTAAGTCTGGTGTCAAATACACTTTTCGCGGAAGAAGCTTGTACAACGGAAGTAAAAGCCCTACACAAACGGTCCCAGGTGTACCATTTCTGCCAATGCTTAATGCTTAACTGTTGGAATCATAAAAACCAGGTAGC